CATGGAACGTTCCCAGGCGGAGATTGTTCGTCCGGATGTCCGGTCGAGGGTAGACAGAGAGGTTAGCTGAGGTTAGCAGGTGTCCACCGTTTCGACCGGTTGGATCGACACATGGATGGAGTCCAATGAAGGACTGACGTTACGCTTTCATGCGCAGTAGTGATCGTCCCGACGCTATCCTTGCTTCCGCGCGTCATCGATCAGCCTGTATAGCAACTGATACAAATTGATAGCAACTACCGATCTAACTACTGAATCCTGACCTTTGATATGTTTAAAAATAAAAATACAGACACGCATACGCAATTAAAAAAATTAGAGGGGGTTTTGAGGTCCAATTGAAAATACTGTAACTGCATGAAATTTTCATCTCTGCAGTATAATTCTCTTTTCCATAATGTAATATTATAATTACATAATTATAATAATATAGTTATATATATTTGTAATATATACAAGATTTGTAATTTTGAGCTCCATTGGTTTAACATGTATTCATTTTTATATTTTGTCTTTCTTTTTCTATCTCCAATAAGAAAAGGAAGACACCAAGTAAATATTGATACATGTCAAGCTTCTCAATGTTTAAATCTTAAACAGCGCTAATATTGTGTCACCTTGGTGAACATTTTTTCAGAATTTTTTTATACGAATTTCAACATTTTCAGAAATACAAAGGTTATATTTTTTCTTCGAATTGTTTATTATATATGAATTTGAAAATATTCTTTAATTTTTTTAGAATTTTTATGTAAAAAAAATTTAGAAGTTTCAAAATATTTTTTAATTATTTTTCAACTTTCTAGAAATTTTTTCAAATTTTTTTATACAAATTGAAATACTTCTCAAGAACGCGGAAAAAAAATCTACATCTTTTCTTCATATTATATACTTAAATTCTGAAATACTCTAAAATTTCTTGTTCTATAATTTCTGAAATAAATTGTTATTCTCTCTCTCTCTCTCTCTCTCTTTCAAATTTTATAAAATTGTTTTATAAATTATAAAAATAAGAAATGTTAAAGTACTTCAGAGAATTCATATACATGAATTTTGGAAGATAAACTTTCTTGGCACATTTCTGAAAAATATTACAATTTGTATAAAAAAGTCAAAGAAAATTTCTGAAATGTTAGAAAATCATGTTCAGAAATTTTAAAAACTCTAAAAATTTACATAAAAATTCTGAATTACATAAAAAATTCAGAGAATTTTCAGCAAGTTACTTATATACATATAAAGTAATTCCATTAGATATGTTGCAAGCTGCCAGAAATTTTGTCAAGCTTTTAAGAATCCAAATAATTGCTAGACTCCATATAAGCCTTATTATCTTTCTTATTAATGAGAAATATTATTACATACACAGATATATATATAATAATAGGTATTGCCTACTTTTTACAAGTTTTTTTTTATTTAGATACGCTTTTTGATGATATAACAGACAGGATACAACGAAACATTTCGTTTTTATGTTTCCCTTTCTATATATATATATATATATTTGTTATAAATCTTAATGATTAAGAATTAATATAAATCTTAATCTACGTAAATAAGAGTTTCCTCTTGACTCGATGCGCTTGTGAATGTATGGAATTCTTCCTCAATCATACTCGCGAATGGAATATTAACAGATGCGAGGCGTTACTGTATTGCAAATGCACCATCGTTGCTCTCGAAGTTCTAGAGTTCGTTCGCGAAACACGATTACCGGAGCGATTTGATGATCGTGTTAATCTTCTCAATGCAGTCCTCCTTCTTCCTGGAGATCGTCGTCTCCATGTCGATGAATTGCTGCCGACTGATCTTACCCGGGATCAGTTTCTCCAAGTACAATGCCTGCAGTTGGCCATAGATCTCCTTCAGATAACGATCGCACTTTTGTAACTCCTGGATGCGATCATACACGTCAGTGGACTCTCCCTTTATCTTCTGCGCGATCTCGTTGAGTGCGTTGTTCGCCGCCTTGTATTCCTGATTGATACCCTTTATCGCGGACTGGAAACTGTTGGTGTCCTTGGACACCTTCAGGTACGACAGCTGCTCCTCCAGATTATAGTAGGTCGCGATTCTGCGGTCCTGAGCAGCGAGAACTTTCTCGCACTGACCGGCGATCCTCAGCTTGCTCTCCGATACTTCATCCTTATCGATGGAGAAGTCACATCTCACGTATACTATAACCGCCAGGAACATCAGCCACAGCGCCAGCACGATCATCAGTGGTTCCTGCAGCATCAGCAGACGCGGGAACGTATACTTGAGCCTGAAACTCTGAATATGATTCTCCACCAGATTATTCTTAGTCACAGATATCACTGGACGACCAGTGACATCCAGATATGTATAATGCAGGGAATCCGGCAGGCGGGTCACGGGATATGGCAGCTCCTGCTTTATATTGCTTGCACCCTCTGGTAGAATGATCTTCAGGACCATCTCGTCCACTACCATGTCGTCGAAGATGTGATCCAGCAGTCTCATCTCCAGGGCGAACTCGTCTCCAGAATGGAAGAGATACTCGTAGCTGGGTACATTGTAGCCAATTGTGTAACGAGTCTTCCAGCCACCGAACAATGGGAATCTTGGCCGCAGATTCAGCTCCACTGAATCCTTCTTGATGCGGGTATGCGACGTAGAGATGTTACCAATCTCGTCTCTGTAATAAATATCGGAAGCAGCTGCCGGCAGGATAGTATCGAAACTTTGGATGCTCGCCTGTCCAGATTTAGACTCCCGGGCGTACTCGTAACGTGAGAAGGAGCCTTTCAGCAACGCTCCGGTATGTAAGAGATCAATATGCTCCTCGACAGCTATGTTACCCCAGTGAGAGATCTCAAGGACCCTCTCGAGCCTCGTTACCGTGAGGAACTTATTGTTGTTCTCAAAGTGTATAGTCATTTCCTCATAAGAGAATGGCAGTTGAGACTCATATGGACCATAAGCCAACATCGAGCCAGTCTGGGAGACAGGCTTGATCTTGGTGTAGCTCTCAAGATTGCGGGTGGGCAGTGCCACGTAGGTGGTCTGCTTGGTGACAGGATAGGGCAAGCAGGCGTACACATTGCCCGTGTATCTGACAAGCTGCTTCTCCTGTTGGGTGATCTGCTTGGGATGTGGCACCAGCTCGTGCGTGAATACCGTCTCCAGTTCAATGGTGAGAGAACGCCGAGCCGCCAGATGGTTGCCGAGATCAACGGAGTAGAAGACTCGGTCGCGATGCGCCGGTATCTTGGTCTCCTTCACCTTCAACTCCAGTTTATCGGGCTCTACACGTGCCGCTATGTAACTGATGAATTTGCTCTGAGCGTCGTCCAGGCAGAAGAGGAAGTTCCGGACGCGATCTTCCTTGCCTTGCTTGTTTTCCATCACCACCCGAGTGGTGATTTTGGTGAGCTGGGACTGCAGGTCGATGTGCCGCTCGACGCTCCTGATGGTCAAGTTCGGGTCCACGACCCCGTCCAGGTTGGCCGCGGTGCAACCGCTGTACGCCCCCAGGTAGAACGCGAGAGCGCAGATTAGCGCACCCGCGTGAACGCGAGACATCGTCGATGAGACTCCGAATCGTTAAGAATTTCTATAATTCTGTCTCCTGATGGAACGAATTAACAAAGCGGCACGATAAACGTCCTTCTCCTTGTACGTTACGCACTCGCCGGTACGCGGCGACACGGTTAGCAAATAACAAAATACGTGGCGTTCGTCTATGGCGCCGGCTAGTTGCGCGCATGTCAATATATAACGATGCGGCCGGCAACGCGTCATTGGCCTAGTTTACACCGACGGTTCGATCCGGGTCAGAATGCAAGAATCAACCAACTGCAGTCGAATGACAAGGGAATGCTCGACTGCAGTTGGTTGATTCTTACATTCCGACTCGGATCGAACCCTCGGTGTAAACTAGACCAATCAGATCCAAGAGCTCACTGAGCGCTCAGTGAGCTCTTGGATCTGATTGGCATATTCCGTTAGATCTAAAAATATAGACCAAGATACAAGAGCTCACTGAGCGCTCAGTGAGCGGCCGTAGTACTGAATGCACCCATTAGGTGCATCCAGAAGCACGACCGCTCATTGAGCGCTCATTGAGCTCTTGTATCTGTTTGGTCTATGTTTTTCGATCTAATGGAATATGCCAATCAGATGCAAGAACTCACCGAGCGCTCAGTGAGCGGTCGTGCTTCTGGATGCACCCATTGTTAAATAAAGATAAGGGTGCCGTCCCATGGAGCGGAAATTTACAGCGGAACGGAACAATGGCTGCGTTCAGCAGAGAAAGGAGCTTTGCAATTGTTGTAAAATTCTTCAATATGATTGGTCTTGCCCTTAGTTCCTCATTGGATCTAAATGTATAAACCAATCATATTCCAGAATTTTACAACAGTTGCAAAGCTGCTTTTTCTGCTGAACGCAACCAATGCGACCAATCACAACTTTGCAGTCATTATTCTGTTTTCTTTTCTGGGATTGTGATTGGTCTCGCTGTTTCGTTCCGCTGTAAATTTCCGCTCATGGAACGGCAGTGCCATAAGATAGGCTGCTTTCCATTTGATGACACAAATCGACACAAGTCGACACAAATGTCGTTCTATCCTTCTTGATATTCAGAGAGTGACAAAGATAGAACGACACTTGTGTCGATTTGTGCCGACTGTGTCTCCTAAAAGGAAAGCAGCCATAGTACACGGGGGCACCTGGGTGAAGTTTCCGAACGCAGCCATAGTGGATAATGAACATCTGTGAATCAGAAGGACGAAAAGTATACTTATCGGTATACATTACCGAGGAAGAAAAGGCAAGGCGGTAGAAAAGAACGAAAAAAAACGCCGGTAGAGTTGAGGTGCGTTCCGTTATATTACTGACGTACTTGTTAGGATGCGTTCTGTATTAACGTCCGAATGACAACTTTTCGTCAGAATTTCGACGAAAAACGTCTCGCATGCGCAGAACGATATGGTGTAATAAAGCGCGACGGTCAAATATATGTACAGTTGCGTTGCAGGTTATGTTTATGTTTTGTCAGTTTTGTTTGAATACAAACAAAGAATATACTATGTTAGAAATTTTATATCTGAGTTTAGTATTACTTCTATGTCATGTATGTGCAAAAACGCCCAAGAATTGTTCCATTTCACGAGACAACCTCGGTGTTTGACGTCACACTTCGTCCAGACCCCGACATACGGGGAATGCACCCTGGAAAATCTATAGTTACTACACGTATCATATATACAGATTTTCAATATTTACAGAATAACAGAACGCAATCATGGAGAGTAATCCGTCACTGTTGCACTTTCGGCGCATCTGTCGATTCTGCTTATCGGATTCGGAACCTCTGAACTCTATCTACGAGCACAATCACAAAAAGTCAATCCAGCTACCGCTCCAGTTGCAGATCATGTCCTGCGTTGCTATCGAGGTGAGACTTGAGAGGTGAGTGGCCCTGCCGCTAACAATACCAAAGACAGACTGGTATTCATAGTCAATTTTTATAAAATTCTTATAATTATTCTTGTAAGAATGTCAAGTATATTTGAGATTGTTTTAGGTACAGTCTTAAGATGTCACATGTGGGGGGGGGGGGGCTAGTATTTATAATTGGATCTTATTTAAGACTGTCTTAAGTTATTACTCATGCAGCATACATATTCAAAAGAGAACATAAAGCATCTTATAGATATCTTAAGGTATCTAATAGATCATCTTTATAACATGATGTCTGAAAGACATCTTGATGATGTCTTTAGAATGTCTTATGCTGATTCTACAATGAGTCGGTAGTCGGAAGTCTTAGTCTTAATTGGTGAATTTGGCCAATCAGCCTTGGTCATATAAGTTGGCTATTGATCAATTTCACCGATAAAACTTAGGACTACCGATTACCGACTCATTGTAGAATCAGCGTTATATCTGTATTTTGGATATACAGTTCTCTAAGCTACAGATATGTCTCAGTATTATTGTGCTTTTATTGGCAGAACTAGTGCGCACTTAATGTACATTAAAGCTGTTGTATACTATTCTAATCTAAATGTAAAAGAGATATCTCAATTGATAGAATGCCCAATGTGTATTTTATCAAATAGCACAATAAAATGTATTGAATATTTCATGGTTTAATTTGTTTCTATATTTTTATTAAATATCTTTAATATGATTTTTTTTGCTTGGATATATAAATACAAACGAATAGGAAGATAGATCAAACATACATCTTTATGTTAATTTATGTACAATGACTTTAAACTGAGTACACACTAGTACTGCCAATGAAAAACACTATTGATATCTTGAGACATTATTTAAAATTAGAACCGACTATAAATACTAGTCAAAGGGCTGTATTAGCATCTTATGACATTACTTAAGACAATCTTAAAATAAGAATAAACTATGAATACCATCTACAGAACATTGTGCAATTTATGTTTACACTTGATCTATAAAAATGTGAGGTAGAACGCAAAGACGGCCAGTTTCTATATTTTTCTATTCAATGGTGTAATATTATTAGAAAATGAGAAAGATTGGCTGTCTTCATGCTCCTTTTCATTTTTATTGGCTACATTAGATATACTATTTAAATAGGGATTGCGCAATCCATGTTCTACGTCTTTGAATGATACTCTTAACAAGTAGTCAATGGCTGCGTTCAGCAGAGAAAACTAATCAGTTAGTGCTTAGTGATTCTTTAATATGATTGGTTCTTGCTTTTTGTTCTTCGTTGGATTTAAGTTTAGGAATCAGTTATATTGAAGAATCACTAAGCGCTAACTGATTAGTTTTCTCTACTGAACACAGCCAATGATACTGACCGCCGAAGGTGCCTCGCCGAATTCTCCTCGCTGGTAAGGACCACAGCACAAACTTTTGCACATTGCTGCATAACGCATAAGACATAAGAGAAACAACCAATTCTTCATTTCATATTCTAGTTGATTCTCTTATGCTTTAAATCTTATGCATTATGCAAAAGTCTACATAGCAGCCTTAATAAGCTTACAAGGAAACACAACCAAGTGAGCCTTTCCGATTTAAATGAGCGTTTAGTATGTTGTTCTATGTTGTTCTACAAAAATAGGAGACACGTATTTTTTTTATACGTGCTGAATCGCACGTTAAGGGGGTGAAATTCTCCCTTTAAAAAAATCGGTTTTTTTCTTTCAGATTAAATATTATCGAAACTGGAAGAGATAGAAAAAAAATTTCAAAACGAAAATTGAATGGCTTCAAGAGTACTTTAGAACTATAATAAATTTTTTTCCTTATATACAAATAATCTTTATTATAAATAAATAATTTAAAAAAATATTTTTTTAAATATAGATTTAAAGTACTCTTAATGCCATTCAATTTTTATTCTGCAAATTTTTTTCTATCGTACAGTTTCGACGATATTCAATCTGAAAGCAAAAAACCAACTTTTTTCAAGAGAGAATTTCATTCCTTTAACGTGCGACTCAGTACGTATAAACAAATACGTGTCTCCTATTTTTGTCCACAGAACATACTAAAAGGTCATTTAAATCGGAGAGATTCACTTGGTTGTGTTCCCTTGTTAATACAATAAGCTATTATCTAAGTTTTAAGTCTTAAGTCATAAGAAATTGATCAATCACAGTCCAATGTAAAAAAAATAATTGATTATGATGGATCAATTTCTTATAACTTAAGCTTTAAAATTTAGGTAGTGACTTATTGTAAAAAGCCTCTAACGATCGTTAGTATAAGCAGCGATATTACTGGCTGATCTGACGTGACGTCGCGATTCCGCTGAGAGAGGATGTTTAATTTGCATATCTCGCCTAATTTCTTTTTCTTCGGAGTTTCTCATCCGGAGCTAGAACTTTTGAGCATGATGATTGTTTATTTTAATAGGTAAATGGTTTAAATAAGAGAAAGTTTATATTTTATTCTTTCTTATTAGTCATTGGAGATGTTTAAATAGAATGGAATTTTCTGTAATATTATTAAAATGAATGATAAAATTGAATTTTGAAAAATTAAATAAATCTAAAAAAACAGCTATCTGAAATAAAGGACTGTCCTTTATAATAAAGGACGTATGATTACCGTAATTATAGATTTTTTAGTATTTTCGTATACAATATTTTTCAAGAATGAACATCCAACACTGAGAAGAGACTTTTCCAGATCGTCAATAGGTAAGCACGTTCCTAATGAACCATTTTGTTTCTTAATAGGTCTATACCGAGGACGAAATGCCACAGGTGATCTGTAACACGTGCCGCTGGAATCTGGACCACTTTTATAAATTCAAGTTGCAATGCAAGAAAGCTGACGAGGCATTAAGAGACTGCCTTCTATCTGGAAAATTACCAAAACCTTTCCCGCCCATCCGTATCGATCCATTGACGGAGATCGGTAACAAAAGACCAGTCGAAACTAGATCGCAGAAGGAGGTTTCGAAAAAGCAACGCACCTCTGATGATGATAACAGAAATACAAGAGAGAGACGTGAGACCATAAAAAGGGAGAAAGAGAAAGAAAGAGAATCACAAAATGAAAACCAGAATATCAGTGAGCAGCATCTTTACGAGGAAATAGAGAACGAACAGAACAGAGACAGTGAAAGTAATCAGGAAGTGAGTAACATTAATGAAAACAGAGAACAGGAGCCGGCAGAAGTCAAAGTAAACGCATGCGATCAATGTGAACGTACGTTCGCATTACGTCAGGCTCTGCTGCTGCATGTTCAGCGCGTTCATGTTCGCGCTCGCAATTACAAGTGCAACGAGTGCGAGAAAAACTTTTTCAACAAACACGATCTGGCCAAGCACTTGAGTATACATTCGCAGGAGAAGCCGTATTCGTGCTCGATCTGCCAGAAGCAGTTCTCGCGGTTGACTTCATTGCAACGTCACAAGAAAGTACACAAAGAAGAGACGCACTACGCTTGTCCTCATTGCGACGATGAATTTTTCACTACAGAGGAACTCGAAGAACACAAGAATTCGGCACACAAGAAAGAGAAGCCATTCCAGTGTAACATTTGCAAGAAGCGCTTCCTATACAAACAGGGTCTGCAACGGCACGAGACGCTACATAATAATAAGGATGAAAAGTTCGTGTGTGATTACTGTAAGGAGACTTTCCGTACTTGCACAAAGCTGGCCCGGCATCTGATTACCCATTCTGGTCCTCGACCATATATGTGTAAATTGTGTCCTCGCACATTTCTGCTATCGCATCATTTGACTAGACATATACGTATGTCCCATTCAACGGAGAAGCGTCGTGTATACAAGAACGGCAAGAAGAGGTTACAGGTGAATCAGTTGACGCACGCGAAACGTACATACATGGGCCTCACCTGTGATGTCTGTCAAGAATCTTGTCGTAATCGCGCCGAGTATGTCGTCCACATCAAGCAGCATATCGAAGCGGGCGAAAAAATAAGCCCGGACAGTTTACAGCCCAACACTAAGAAAAATCTTAAACTAAAGTCTAATGAAATGAAAGAAAAAGAAAAAGATCAGCATTCTAATAAGAACGATGATTACGAGTCGCCAGGGTACGTTGTGAAGAAGTTACCAAAGCCGTCAATGCCCTCAGAGAGTGAGAAAAAAGAAAAGCAGACTAGAGAAGACAAGAACGAGAATTCCGAGAAACAAGAAAAGGAAGAACCCAATGTGATGTACGTACGCAGCAAAAATGGTGGTATGGTCAAAATCACGACATTCCCACCCATCGAGCGTATACACGATATTCAAGAGCAGGAAGCAATATTCAAGAATACGAAGCAAACTACTTCAATCGATTCTCCTTCTCAGAGCAGCTCGAAAGGCCTCACGTCATCGCAAATCGAAGAGACTCCCATAAGCGGCTATGTGGATGACACCGAGTTACAAGTGCAAAAGATCGTCACCTCAGTATCCAAAGGACAGAAGTCCCTGTTGAAGCACCAACAGAACAGCCAAGATCAGTCTAAAGAATCGCTAACACCTGCGACGAGAGTTTACAACTCTTCCCAAGAAAGTAGCAAGGATAACGATAAATCAGAGACCTTAGCATCCACTCCGAACACCATCAAAGTTAAAAGGATTAAAAGAATTGTGGTGAGGAAACCAGCAGGGGGAAGTAACGAAGAAACACCAGCTAGTACGTCTAGTATTAAGGATGGAGATTCTTCTCTGAGCGGTACTCCCGGCCCGCATAAGATCAAGCGAGTGATTGTCAGTAAGAGAATTATCCGAAAGAATGATGTTGTTCATGAAGTTATTATGAATCCAGATGGAACCACGATAGATTCTGCAGAACTGGCAAAACTATCGACTGGCAATGTAGTGAAACGAGTAGTAAGGAAGCTACCGCTCGACAAGAATCAGAATATGGTACAAGCGCTATTGCAATCCGCGAAACAACGTGAAAAAACAGAAGATATAGCGAACGAAAAGTTCAAGGCGACGATTTCAGCGTCATCCAGCAACGATACACCAGAAAGCTCGAATGCTTTGGAAAAGAAACAATTGTGAAAAAACAGAAGATATAGCGAACGAAAAGTTCAAGGCGACGATTTCAGCGTCATCCAGCAAAGATACACCAGAAAGCTCGAATGCTTTGGAAAAGAAACTGATCATCCAGGATTGGATGTATGTAGAAGCTGAAGCAATTGGAGACGTAGCGGAAATGGTAGATATTGAAAATTAAGAAGTCGCAAGCGAAGAAATATAACAGGATGGCGATTGACGAAATATTACCGGAGCGACATGACGAGTCTGAAGATAAACAGCAACTACCATTCAAGAGAGTATTTGTGAAACGGGAACAACATATACGATGAGGAGTGGGAATACAACGATGACACAGAAGCGACAAAGAACAGGAACTCAAGTAGGAAAGGAAGAGACAGAACAAGTTGACGTGAAAAAAAGAGGAAGTGATGAGGAGTGGGAATACAACGATGACACAGAAGCGACAAAGAACAGGAACTCAAGTAGGAAAGAAAGAGACAGAACAAGTTGACGTGAAAAAAAGAGGAAGATGTTGGAAAATGTTCAGAAAAAAATCCAAAGTACGACGATGAGCGGCAGTAATATCACATCAAGTGATATGTCTACTCCGAAAAAGGATCCGATGATGTTGAGCAACAAATTATTCAAACAAGTGTTACGTGATCATAATTATTATAAGCCTAGCGATACATCAAAGGTGAAGAAGGTCCAGAATTCTACATTTTCGAGACTATCGATAACGTAGTAAAGATACAAGCCTTGTTTACGAATACTTGGTAGTACTATGCATACTAAATCACTTGATACTCTCAGTATAAACGCTGGGGAATTACTTCAGTACGCTCTGGTACTCCCGAATCACGAGACCAAGCTGGTACGCGTATCAAATGGTATCAAAAAATCTCAGCGTGCTGTAAATAGTTGGCTCGTATTGAATCGTATGTTAAACACGCCACTTTAAATAAGGATGTATCAAATATTTAGTTCATTCAATTTGAGATACGCATACTAACCGATTTAACGGTGTAAAAGGGATCACAGAAGTCAGTTCTGAACAATCTCACGCAAATTCCGGCGTCGTCAAATACGAAATGAAAGACTAACTCGGCGGTGGAGGTCGATATCGCTTAGGAGATCAAGTTAGATCCTAAGATGGAGAAGCTTTCGTAGGTCATCGTCATACAAGAGGAGAGTCAATCTGACTCCAACACTATCACTTAGACAATCAGGATCTCTCCGAGATCACTTCGATCTTTGAGACATCAAACGACGTATTGAAGATGCGGAAATCGGCAGGCAGCAATCTGAACGAATCCGTCATACAGTTGTCGCAGTGAAATGACACTATCAATTTGAACTAACGATAGCCAGAACAGCCTGGAGGACAAACTCGCAGATCAAAGGTTGAAGATTTGTTTTTTTTTGCCCGGTTGAGGTACTGTACTAAGTAAAAATTATTCTCCCGAATTCGCTGTATGATTCCAAATCATATTATCGGTAATTAACTTTAATCGCTGTCCAGTTTGGTCGACGTTCAACAACGTCAAAAAACAGAAAATACAGCGAACGAAAAGTTCGAGGTGACGATTTCAGAATCATCCAGCAACGATTCCGGCAGTGCACCGTATTATTGATACAGAATATCTACAAATTTTATTTTTTCATAATTTTGGTTTTTATAATTGACTTGTAGTCTCTTTTAACCCTTACCGTATCGTGCAAGTTAAAGAAACTTGTATAATTTATAGTATAATTTAGTATAATTTATAATTACCGAAAGACTCATAAATTATACTACATTTTATTATTTTCCAAAATAAAGAGTCAATATTTATTCTAGAAAGTTGAAAGTATGTTGGTAAATTTTTAGAGATTTTTAAAATTATTTTGAAGAGGTGAAAAAACGAAGAGATTTGAAGTGACCCTTGATGGTATGGATGAGGCACCAAATTGTAGATGGTACGGTAAGGGTTAATTATTTCGAGTTGTTATCTCTATGGGTGCATTCGTTTATGCAGTGACTAGCGCATCCTCTGCTTTCTTATCTGCTGATCACATGACCTAAATTTACCGAATGAATCTCTGCATGAATAATTGCTCGTACCATATTGGATCTTCCAAGAGAAAATTTGGAAAAGCTGAGCTGATTGAAAATTAAGGCCCAGGGGCCCTATTCTCGAACAAATATCGCATGCAGAAACAGCAATTCCGTATATAATCGATCAATCACAATCAAGAAACTGTCATTTTTGTATGCAAAAATTATATATATACGCTCAAAAATAGGGCACTAGTTTCACAATTCATGGTTAACTGAGGTTCAACTTATTCCTCATTTCTTTCTAATAGAATTGGAAAGAGATGAAAAATAAGTTGAACCTCGGTTAATAAGTAAACGTGAGCTGTAAAATTAGGCCTAAATAAAAAATTCGAAAATATTAAATATAAACCCCAAAATATTATAAAATTTATTTATAGAAAGTTCATAATTCTCATATGTGTGTTGATATTTTCAATCTACATCCAAAAGGTGTGATTTTTAAGTTAATCTGATTGCAAATACAAATTAGCAAACTTCACACCTTTTCCATTATATATCTTACGTTGCATTATTTTCACTTTAGTTGGATCGATTTCGACAAGTTGTTCTTAATCTCTTTTATTTTTTAATATTTTAATAAAATTCATTTTTAGTAATGGGCCTTCTACAATAAGCCGCAAGTTAGAAGTTCTAAGTGATCTTAAGTCATAATCGGTGAAGTCGGCCAATAGCCAACTTGAACGACTTGGTTAAGACTGGTTAAGACTTCTGACGTTCTGACTTGCGGCTTATTATAGAAGGCCCATAATACAATCGGCTATTATAGCTGGCGATATTATGAACAGTAAGATATCCAGGCTGCAAAGGCAACTGCAACGTAGTTTGTCATTCATTTACGCAGTACTGTGAGCAGAGCATCCTGAGTAGGACCTCCGAGATAGCTGCTTAGATGGTATACATCCCTGCATAAACGAATGACAAACTGCGCTGCAGTCGTCTTCGCAGATAGAATAAACGAATGACATCTGCGGCAGTAACTGCATAAACAAACGCACCTTATGTGATTACGACAAAGTTCATTGAGACTATCAAACTATTTTCTTAAATACTATCCTAATGTCTCATACTCTGATGTGATTTAACTTCGACAAATCTGTCCGATAGAAATCATACTAGTATGATTTCTATCGGACATATTAGTATTCAAAATAATAATGCTAATTTTTATTTGTTCAAGAATCTTAACGAGAATCTCTGTGAGTTAAATTGATAGCAACAAATGTGTATATATTCTATTATAATATATACAGATATTGAAATCGATCATACGATCGAGGACACTTTTTGAAAAATAAACATTATTATTTGTTCTACCGTTCTTCAATAAATTTAACTTATATATTAAGAGATTTTTTTTAAACAACTAGCGCATTCTCTAAACAGCGCTTATTCCCTTCAGCCCTTCTATTTCTTTCATTATTTTTAATCAGAATATCTATTATGTACATTTCAAAAAGCTTTCATTTTAGTTTACTTATACCTTTTATAGCTATATAGTTATTTTTATTACAAAAATTATTTTTATTATTTCTTCATGAGTATAACTCGGAAAGTTGTAACATTCCAAATGAATATTTCGATACATTTGCAATGAGAGGATAATTGTAAACATATGGTCCGCTACCGGATAGTTTTAGGCTAATTCTACAACGTGCTTTTTGTTTCCTGTTTCTTGCTGTTTGTCTCTGTTTGTCTCTTGCCTTTTTGATTAAGAAGGCAAGAGACAAACAGCAAGAAACAGGAAACAAAAAGCACATTGTAGAATTAGTCTAAGGAATCACAATCAAAGGAATAAGGAACAGGAAACAGAGAATAAGGGCGGTATTCATAGTTCGTTCTTATTTCAAGATTGTTTTAAGTAATATCCTAATATGGCCCTTTGATTGGTTTGTGACTTCTTAAGACTATATTTGAAACGGTCTTGAATATAAGATCTGACTGTGAATACCTAAGAATTTCAACCTATCAAAAATCATGTATTGAATACATAGTTTCTGATAGGTTGAAATTCTTATTCTTTGTTTCCTGTTCCCTATTCCTTTGATTGTGCGTAGTCTCTTATTGGTTCTGACTTGCGAACTGTATCACAACTGTGAGAAATATATACATACTGTATCTTCTGGCGGTTTCCTTTATTTGCGCACATTCGCTTCCGTTAATTAAATAAAGAAAAAAAAAAGAAAAGTTTATTCCTTGATCACGCAGTCATTGGATTTGTCAGCTTTCTAGCGTTAAGGACGTAACCAGGACCGGGGTGATCCCGATTGATCACGGCTCGATTGAACACCACCAATCACAGCGACCAGTGCCTAGGAGCTTTGTAGTCTCAAGCGCTGTGAGTGGCTCGTGTCCAATCGAGCCGTGTCCAACTGGGTGCCACCCTTTTTAAATATGATCAATTGTATACAAATCATTTAATTAATAATTATACAGGGCTGCGTTCGGATTCCCACCCGAGTGCTCTTCGGGTATCATGTCTTCCTTGTTTAATGTTCGATAAACTACAAGGATGATATGACATCCGGAGAGCACCCAGGTGGGAATCCGAACGCAGCCCAGGGTGTTTCATTTTAAGTGATATGGTCGATTATCTCACGAATCGATGATTTCATTGAAAATTTTTTCGAACGAAAGTTGCATGGCTTGAAAGAGGACACATGGTGGAAATGTGGACTTGATCTTGAGTGACCTTGTCAAAATCAGGTCAAGATCATATTGTTTTTTTAAATGGAAATCCCTATTTTTTATTACATATTCTTGTAGCTTATCTCGAGAGCTTTCCAAAACACTATAATAAAGTTACGTTTCATTGAGTACTTCCCCGAGTTATAGAGCTTGAAAGATACAGTACCACCGACGTTATCCATGTACGCATGCGCGTGTGAGCGGGATTCTTACGCGCGCGCGTTTCCGCGATTTATCGGGGTGATCCCGATTGATCACGGCTCGATTGGACACCACCAATCACAGCGACCAGGTGCCTAGGAGCTTTGTAGTCTCAAGCGCTGTGAGTGTATCGTGTCCAATCGTGTCCAAAATTGAGCCGTGTCCAACTGAGTGCCACCCAAGAGAAACCGCAAGCAAATAAATGCTAAAGATGACGTTAATGATCCGTGTTATTAGCAGTGCTAGCAATGTGATAAACTTAAATCCTCATATTTCGACTAGAGAACTGCAACGTAATTTAGGAATTCCTTATGTCACTGTGTGGAGGATTTTACAAAGACATAAATTCTATCCCTACCACATCACTTTGACCCTTAAATTTAAGATGTACGTAAAAATGATATGAGGCTAAGAAGATAATTTTGTCGTTGGGCATT